GCCATCTTCTGACCCTAACAAGAAGCACAAGCGGCAGCGAAAAGGTACCTATAGTGGGTTGCAGGATGTCTTAAAGGTTGTCTCTAAATTTATTGAGCAATTGCCTTCGAACTCTTGGTCGCCAAAGCTAGCGACTGCTTCAGGACGACCTTGCGGCGGCGAAGAATGCACACACGCCGACACAACTTGAAAAAGTGCTAGCTCGTCGTGTGGAAAATGTTCTTGCAGCATATGGTGAGAATATGGCATAAACATGGAAGGTTTGCCCTGCAATAAAAGTAGAGCCTGGTGAGGGTTGCAGAAGATCGCATTCGGCAGGTAGCCAAAACTCATCTTGCTGCTCCATGGAATGGATTGGGTGGGTGGCCGATGATTGAGGCAGCCACGAACAAAAATACACCTGAGCCTGTCAGTGTAGGCAAAGCAATGCTACACACAGTGCGTGAACAAACTTTGGAAAATACTTGCAAGTGGTACTGAAATTCATTGAAACTCTTTCCAAGCCTGTTCTTCCCTGGGTGTCAATCAAAGCTGCAAGCGCGCTGGAAAATGTGTCTGTGCCCTTCAATCAAGGCAGCAGCGCATCAAACTTAAATTTCACCAGCTGGGGCAGCCCTTCGGTGCTGATGACAGATTTGGGCACAAGAAGGTTCCCAAAAAGGCAATTAAATACACAACGAATACGTGAAGGCTTCATTCAAACAATTACTTTGCAAGAAGGGTCTTAAGCCGCACAGCATGCTCCTGCAAACTATCACAACTGAATGTGACCTGCCCCTGGGAGGGTGATTTGCTTCGAGGTCAAAAGCACCAGCCCTTTTGGAAAGATCTTACCATCCTTCGCGACCATATTCCAAGCCCAAGCAGCAGCCTTTGCCATTTTGGCGGCTGCCACCACCTGGCAAACTTCAAGCTCAGTTGGCTTCAAGAACATGCGGCGGTCAGTCTTAGGCTTGACTTTGCCAATGTCACCGGCTGCAAAGTCTTCATACCCATACAGCGATGTCCCTCCTAGCGAGCACGTGATTGACAGCCTACAATGGGGCTGTGAAGAAACAAACATCCAAAGGCACTGACATAAGCAACGAAATGCACAACTGGTATACAGCTTTTTTATGGTTCACCTATCATACACGACTGGATAGCTTGTGAAGGCGTGACCGGTAATTAGAGGCGACCTAGCGACGGCACAAACCTGCCTTTCTTCTTCACAAGCTCTGACAAGGAGAGCGGGGTGGACAAGTCATTGCTGTATACTTTTGTCGAAGCTTGGAGGTCATAGAGCACTGCGTTGGTTGGAATGGCGCCGCCCTTAGGAACTGATGCAAAATCGCCGGCCGTCCACATCTTCAGAAGCGTGTCTTTGGGCAGCCTCTTGTTGGCTAGGTCCCCGCTCTCCAAATGCAAGGTAGGCCCGCTTTCCTGCTCTTTGCAGAACACTTCGAAAGGGAACGGCACGGTGAGCTTTGCAATTTGCTTCCCGAGGTCATGCTTGGATTGCTTCTCTGCCGGCTGCTTCTTGTCTGCTTCTTCAACACCGACAGGCTTCTCTGGGTTCGGTGGCGGGCTTGGATTGCAGGGCTTCGGATCTACTTTTCCATCCTCTGTTCGAACTTGCTTTGCAGAATCCTCTGGTGTGGTGGCTGGTGTCTCTGGGTTCTTCCTTTTCACGCCTGCCTTGTCTGGAGTGGCCCCCTCTACCTCAGAAGCCTGCTTCCACATATGATCAAGCATTCCTTTGAAGGGGCTCGTTGAGGTTGGAGAAGAAGAGCTCAATGCTTTGGCCTTGCTTTCTGTGAAAGAAAGCCCAGCATCAACGAAGAATGGCTGGCCTGGGGCGATGCCAACACCGTTCGGCGTACGGCAAACCAGTCGGAGCGTGGAGCCGTCAAGGCCAACATTGCACTGAAATGTCCACGCCGCATTTGGGAATCGCCGCTTCCCAGCAAAATGTGTCACAAACTTGCTGGCGGACAGCTGAAGCGCATACAGCGTGGTGACCTCTCCGTGCACGCGGACACCACGCACCGCAACAATGGTCTGCCCCAGCTCATTGTGGCCCGGCATGTTCAAAAACCTTGGCTACAGTGCCATGTGCGAGATATCAATATTCTGCTTGCTGAGTGCACACTATTACACACTTAGTAGACTGGTGGCTAAGTCCAACTGAGGGGCGTGGTCAACTTGGACAAAGATGAGAACCAAATGCTTGGGCATTCAACGATTACCTCGCCTTCGAGGATGCGACGGGCGGCAATCAATGCCCGGTTCTCCCCAAATGCAATTGGGAAGTTGTCAAGCTGCTTCTGGACAAGCTTTGGAATCAAGTCTTCCAAGTTTGCAGGCCAGGCATCAAGCTGGCCATAGGCATCCGTTGCAGCGACGTCTGTCACCTCAAAGACCTGCTCCTGCAATGGTGCGAGTTGGCTGGGAAAGTGATTTTCGCCCCGGATAGAATTAATTGAACTGCTTTTAGATGTGGATACTTTTTGGGAAGGGGCGCAACAAATTTATGGTCTCCTCAAAGGTCACATCCGGCCCTTGGAAGAGTGGGATGTCGGTTGGCTGCAAAGATTTTCGACGGTTGCCAATTTTGCTCAACTCCTCTTTTTTCCAAGCTTCATGGGCCAGCTCCCTTCCATGATTCAAAGAGTGCTCCGTACACCGATCCACAAGCAAATGGAGAGCCAGGCCTTTCTCTCGACTTGCCAGCGTCAGATTAGGGTGCGCTGACGTCGTTGCAGCCACCAAGCATTGAGAAGCAGCAGCGCCAAGAAGATCAAGGAGGTTCGCCCAATAGCGCCGAGGGCTGCTGTGGGCCCACAGCTCCTGGACAAAATCTCGCTGGCCCTCACTCTGAGCGTCCTGACCCACAGAACCTTCTTCTTCTTCAAATGGAACATCATCCTCCACCTCATGATCGTCAGGCAAGAAATTGCTGGGAACCAATGGTGGGGTCGAGGCCAACCCGTCCGAGAGTGCCTGCAACTCGTTTGGTGTGCGGTGCGGGCAGGATTTGCTAAGGCAAGACAACCGCAACTTCTCCTCTGCTGCGGATTTGATACTGAGCAAGGTAGCTGTATAGGGAACTGCAGGTTGGTGCTGCGGGTCGTTGATGCAAACTGCCAAAAACCTTGTGGACATCCGCGCACTCTGGCTGCTGGAGCCTGTCATGGTGATGGTGAACTTCTTGGCACTGGGCCACAACTCTTCAAACTTGGACTGGACCATGCTCAAGAGATTGTAACGTTTCCTCAGAAACAGCTTCTACAAGCGGCACACTGCAATGGAAACAACACCGAAGAAAGTACGAAACTTCAAAGTGCTTAGCAATTCCGAGCCACTGCACAGGCACGCAAACCACCCATTTCTCTAGCCGGCCGGCTTTCATGAACTCATCAAAAAGGTTCAAGTACCGCATGGCAACGCTGGTGCGGGAAGTGGGGCAATCGCAAACGAAGATGCTCTTCCATTGCGGGAAAACATTCTTGGCCCCGCAAGAGATGAGATCTCTCTCATGCCTGTGAAAGCTAACGTGGTCCCAATTCTTGGCAACAGCTGCGTTTATTTCCTGGTGGCACGCAGCGACCGCAACGCAAGCGCCCTTTTTGGAACACAACGGAACTGATTGACAGTGTCAAAAAAGGACTCCTCCATGAGGTCTCCAAAGAACTTGGCACATATTGAAGGTTCTAAATAGCCTGCCCAGTCTATATCATTAATGGGGAAAGCTACTGTATATGTATATGTGGTGGAAAGGTTTCGACGTTTGGCAAATGAAGGCGGGGCGCCGAAAGCACAGGGTCTTCTTGCAAGACTTCTGACTCCACGCTCATGAGGGCCACATCTCCGTCACCGTCTGGGACCGCCGCGCCAGGTTCAGGTGCCTTTCCGCCTCCATCTGTTGTGGCACCTTGGTCTTTGCCGGATTTGATCTTCTCTAGCTCCAACCATAGATCGCGGGCAACCTGGACTCCAGGATTCTGAGCGCTGGTGCCATGCAAAGGAATGTTCTCCCGTGCAAGGTTCTTGATTTGAGGCAGCAAGCGAAGCGAACACAGGTAGTCAAGGACGCGCTCCGTCGCAGGCAGGGAATCAGGCTTGCTGCCAAAGGCCTTGTTCAGTTGCCGGCGCCAATTCTCAACCATCTTCAAAGGCGCGCAACAGTTAGACTGGAAAGCCTCGGCGGTGAACGGGCAGCCATCTTCTTTTGCCCGGCGAAGCAAAGACAAAGCCCTCAAGGCAAATGAAGGTTTCAGCTTCTTATCGTTGGGAGAGACAAAGAATTCGTTGTCGAAAATGAATTTGTCGGTGGCCATGGAGTTCTCATCCTGTCTCAAGGCCTCTTTGATTTCCCCAAGCATGTGCCTGCTGGCTCGCACCCAGCGAGCTATGCGGCTGCGGGCTGAGGTGCCCATCACTTCCTGCAAGCAAAAACAAAGAAACATCACGGCGGCCAACCAGCTTCGCACAGGAGCAGGCCTCCATTCTCTTCTGTGTGGCACTCCAATCCCCGCCCACTGTGCGGGCCCGGAAGGATTCAACCAAGTCCATCTTTTGGATCTTGGCGGCGCCGACTGGGGATAAAACAAGCTGAAGGCAATTAATCGCACCTGAGCTTAGGACTGGCTTATGCGGTTCAAAGCGATTGAGATCCACTTCATGGCGCTGCCTTGGCTCAGGAGCTCCAAGAAGCAAGGAGCTCAAGAAGTAGGGCGACAAGCGTGCGCAATCACCAGACTGATTTTTTTTGCAAGGTAAGGCACGTTTCGTGCGCCAAGTGGAGCAAATTATCGTATCCGGCAGCATACTTCACCACATTCACAGGCAGACCCGACTTGAATATATTTACCAACTCCTCATCCCACTCCATTGCTTCGTCTAAGTTCTTATCAAACGCATCTTTGCATTCAAGCAATGCTAAGACTGTCTGCTTCCCATCTTGAAGCAAGAATTGCCCGTTAGAATCCTCAAGCAAATCTGGGCTATCCAAGATCACAGACACACCACACAAGAGTGTCTTACCCCAGTTTCCGTTGCGGAACTCTGCAACGAGCTCAGCAATGCGCATGGGGTTGGGAGGTCGGTGCCCTGACTTCTCTGATGTGCTTAGGCGGGTCAACTCAACAAGCCGGCCACGCTCCACAATTTGAGGCCCTTCATGCATCTTGCTCACCTGTGCCATGTATACTGCATGTTTTTCAATCAAAAAAGATTGTAGCTAAAGAGAGCAATGCTGATTACAACTGCCACAATCCTCGCCTTGTGTTGTTTTGGTGCCATCACCACGTTTCGAACGCGAGGTCGCAATCCAAGATCCACTAGTGACTAGCCAAAACTCTTCAGCACACAGCACAAAAGACTCACTTCAGTGGCCCGAACTGTTCTGAATATGAAATTCCAGTTAAAATATGTTTGTATACGCGCATTGTCGAGGCATTAGCACGAGAAGAAAACAAACGAAGAGATAAACAAAAAGAAAAAACTAAACGACAAGGCTGGACAAGGGGGTTTGGACAAATGGAAAGAAGGTTTTTGCGTTGAACGATGCTAGACCTGAATGCTGAATGATGCTAGAGGCGTCTCACCGCGCCAAGCGCCAACTTGTAAGCCTAATCTAAGCGCGATTGAACATCTGCGGATGACCTGAGGTGCAAGTGTGAATATGTACAAAAAACACAAATCTCCCAACCAAGCACTAACTGCAGAACCTTTTCTCTCAGGAGGTTGGAGTTGTGCATGGGTCTTCTGACCCCAATCGTTCACATCGCTGTTTGTTGAAACTTGGCTAAGCCCGTCCCTGGAGAAACCCGTCCCTGGGGTGGCAAGGCTCCACAAGGGGACTTTGGAGTGAGATCCCTAACAGCCGAGGGGGGTGGCAAGGCTCCACAACGAGACTTCGGAGTGAGATCCAAACAGCCACGCCAAGAACAAGGATTTAAAACAATTGCGGCTGAGGGGGTGGCAAGGCTCCACAAGGAGACTTCACGGTGAGATCCCTAACAGCTAGGCAAAGAACAGGCGTAGGATGCCAAGTCGTGATGCAGTGAACGCAAAATGGCTTGCCGAACAGTTGACAACTTCAAGGAGAAGTCTGCCAGTGCTTGGCAAAACCAGTTTGGACATCTGGCATCTGATGTTTGTGGCTCTGTTGCCCGACCACTTGCTCACACTTGAAGGCTTCAAGGCCACAACCCACAGATGCGCTGATGGCATCCCTACTTCGCAGTGAAATCCATATCTTACAGGCGCGCTCAGGCTCACCCCGGGCATCACTGGAAAACCACAACCCCCACCAGCCAAGCAATAGTAAAATGTTTTTGATTGCGTTGCGTCTTCATCTCAGCTAGATTGTATCTCATGAGGGGGGTGCTCCTTCGGATGGCTTCTCGTGCTCACCCTTCTTTTCTCTTCGATATGCATGGCCCAAAGAGACCGTCACTTCTATCCCAAACCCTCTCTTCCCAAAACAGCGCTCACGGCTTTTGGTGCCAGGCTGGGAGCACCTCAGACCTGGCACCAACCCTGGTCCCCTAAATAGCCATCCATTGGGATGGCGCGATAGACTCCTAAGGCTTCGCAAGGCTTCGCGCCTTTCACCACAGCTCCCAACTGGGGCGGGTGGGCAGGATGCAAGCAAGGATGCGGTTCCTGAGCAAAGAACACCTGTTCAGGCAAGAGGCAGCGCCTGAACTCAAGGAACAACATGTTCAACTGGAAGGGGATTGGGGTGTGGAGTGATTCCCTTACCCAGAATATCCCTGCAACGTTCCCTTGTTGAACTGAATGCAAATGGTGAGATGAACATTGCAAACCTGAGTCGACCTGACGCATAATGATTGTTCCTTTTCTTTGTCCATTGTCGTCGTTCCTGGTGGTCATTGTTGGTTGTCGCCGCTGCGAAGGTATGGCGGCTATAGGAGCGGTTTTGGATTTTGGCGCATATACGACCACCAGTAAGAAAGAAAGAACAGGAAACCGTAGGCCAATTGTAGTAGTAAGCATGAAAGGGCATTTCGCGCTGTGCGGTCTCCATCATTATCATGGAAGGCACCAGTCACAAAATCTCACAGGAATGCAGAGACTGCATCATGACCCTCACATAATGCACGTTTGAAGTCGAACTCACAAAAGGGCGTGGGCTTAAGTCCTTACAACATACTTGGTGAGAACTGCAGAAACATGCAGAAAAACATCTCGAACTGCAGAAACATACATATATATATATATGTGTGTGGACAAACTTGCCAACACAGCGCTTTTCCACCCACTGGCCGGTTTTCCCTAAGGCAGTGGTGCGTCACCCCTGGTCACACAAGACTGCAGAGCCAGCAGTGGCTAGCCCGTGCGCAAGCAAGACACGCTGGTGAAGCGCGTCGTAGCCGTTCTTGCTTTCTAAGACTTGATCACCAACATACCGGAGAGTCTTCAGAGTCTCGGCCAAAGAATCCTCATCGACAAGCTCCATCAGAAGCTCCTGGCGACAAGTGCATGAAAAAGAACATTAAAACGCAAAGATCAAACTGAGAAGGTTGAAGAGCAAAGGCAAGCAAAATGAATAATGACAAAAGATCGAGTTGAGCTGGACATGTCAAAACTCTGGTAGAGAGAGATCTGCATCGCATGAGTGCAAAGTGAGGAAGTCAATTTAATTTTGAGCGACAAAACTTGCACGCAGAACAATTAGTTGCGCGCAAGCTCTCCCTTGCTAACCCTCAACACCATGTTCAAATCGGCGCCTGATCACTTTCTTGTACGAAGGACAACGCTAAGGCCTTCCACGCAGCCGCGTGCTGTCGAAAGAATAGCAACCTTCGCGCCAACTCACGGACGAGACTCACCCCAAAAATCGCTTCCAATCTTGCCAAACTTGTTGCGCTGTAACAAAGAAATGACCTGCTCTTGGCCTGGGGCGCGGGCTGCTCTTCCCGGCGCCGCTTCAGCTTTTGATATTCATCTTTCCTCGTCCCCTTTTTGTGTCTTCCGCCCATGGCAACTGCAGCTTGATTGAAAGCGAAGTGTACTACAACACTTTCTTGTGCATTTTTGGCCTGTGGCAAAACCATGTCTTATTGGACGCGCTGGCTTGGCATTAATGAAAAAATATGCAGAAAGCCTTCCGCCGTGCAAAGAGCGCGCCCCCAACTCAAACTGTTTCTTTGTGCGCGCGCCCCTGTGTTTGATCACCCACAGCCAGCGTTGCAATATCTAGCCTAACGAGAACACCTCGCCCCTGCGTCGCCTGCAAGATTATACACTCGGTGTTGTTCAAGCAGCTCATATGGTACACCCAGTATTGTTCAAGCTGACCTGAAACTGACCTAGACATCAACTTCACGGCGCGCTCACTGAACAGCAAAACAAAGCTAGTCCAGAGCTCGTCTCACAGTCTCACGTTGAAGCTGCAACAAGGTTTTCAACTGCCCTCCCACATCTCTGTCTCTCCCGCCAGGCCAAAGGCACGTTCGCACGGTCGGAGTGCATAGAAAAACCAATGTCTGCACCAGACAACTACACCGCTGCGCACTGGGCCGGAAAAACTTCCAGCGCAAGCACTCAAACGTCTTTCAGCCAAAAGTACAGCCGTGTGCCGTGTAGGCAAGTCATGTATTTGTATACCATCGACGCGACGAGACGCGCGTCGACAGCTCAAAATGGTGTGGCAAGTGAAAGCCTTTGCAAGGTGCCCTTCTTTAACGCTTCAAGCCCCCCCGGGGAACCAAAAAAGGGGCACCTCAAAAAAAGAACGTTTGTTGGGGCTTGATACTGAAACGGTGAGCCAACTCAGAACAAATATGTGTGCGCCTTAAGAGGTCTCTGCGTCTCTGCAAAAGGAAGTCGCCAGGGCCTGGGCCGGAAAAGGGAATTTTGTCCAGCGCAAGCGCTGGAACGTCTTCTTGCACCAAAAAGCTGTGTGGGCAAGTCATGTATGCGTATACAATCTACCCGCTTGAATGAGTAACGCACATCGACTGCTCAAGAAGGTGTGTGGAAGACTGGGCAAGGGAAGCCTTTGTCAAAGGTGCCCTTTTTGAACGCTTCAAGACCCCCTAAACAACCAACAAAAGGGCACCTCCAAAAAGAACCTTTGGGCAACCAGTTTGTCGGGGCTGGATATTGAATAGTGAATCGGTGAGCCAACTCAGAACAAATATACGCGCCGCCGGATCGACGTGGGCCTTAAGAGGTCTCTGCGTCTCTGCAAATGGAAAGTTGAATTCGCCAGGGCCTGAGCAAGAAAAGGAATTTTGCCCAGCGCAAGCACTGAAGCGTCTTCTAGCCAAACCAAGGCCCTGTCGGAGAGCCATGCCTGCATAAACAACCCATACACATATGAGTATAACGCGCGTCGGCTCTCCAAAAGAATAGGGTGCCTCAAAAGAAAACCTAAAAGGGCGCGGCCCTGCGGTTCTGAAGAATCGACGTGCGCCTTAAGAGGTCTCTGCGTCTCAGCGTCTCTGCAAAAGGAAAAGTGAAGTCGCCAGGGCCTGGGCCGGAAGCGCTGGAACGTGTTCTGGCGCAAAAAAGCTGTGTGGGCAAGTCATGTATGCGTATACAATCTACGCGTTTGAATGAGTAACGCACATCGACTGCTCAAGAAGGTGTGTGGAAGACTCGGTAAGGGAAGCCTTTGCAAGGTGCCCTTTTTAAAGGCTTCAAGCCCCCAAAAAAACAAAAAAAGGGCACCTCCAAAAAGAACCCGTGGGCACTCATTTTGTTGGGGCTTGATACTGAAACGGTAAGCCAACTCAGAACAAATATGTGCGCCGCTGGATCGACGCGCGCCTTAAGAGGTCTGCGCGTCTCTGCAAAAGGAAAGTTGAATTCGCCAGGGCCTGAGCAAGAAAAGGACTTTTACCAGCGCAAGCCAAGGCCCTGTCGGACAGCCATGCCGGCATAAACAACCGATACACATGATGAGTATAAGCGGTGTGTTTTCATAAACTCTGGATCCTGAACTTCCTGAAGCCTTTCTGAGACTCTGTCAACTCAATGGCGATGTGTTGGAGAAGTTCAAAAGCAAACAATCTATAGGGCTCCGCGAGGACAAGGCAGCAGAACATTCCCGCTGTCGACGGGCTGATCGACACGCACCTTCAAAGAGGTCTCTGCAGTCTCTGCAAAAGAAGCTTTGGATTCGCCAGGGCCTGAGCCGGACAAAAGGAACTTTGCCCAGCGCAAGCACTGAAAGGTCTTCTCCCTGCAGCCCTGTCGGACAAACCAAGAAATGAAAAGGGCACCTCAAAACAAAAACCCTTGGACAGGCAGTTTGTTGGGGGTTGATACTGAAAGGGTGGCTATACCTACAGAACAACTATGTTCGCAGTTGCATCGACGCGCGCCTTAAGAGGTCTCTGCGTCTCTCCTCTATCTGCAAACAGAAGATTGCATTCGCCAGGGCCTGGGCCAGAAAAGTTCCCAGTGGAAGCACTCAAAAATGTTTCAGCCAAAAGTACAGCCGTGTAGGCAAGTCATGTATCTGTATACCATCGACGCGACCAATGAGTAACGCATCGACTGCTCAAAAAGGCGTGGAAGACTTGGCAAGTGAAGCCTTTGCAAGGTGCCCTTTTTGAACGCTTCAAGCCCCCCTAAGGAACCAAAAAAAGGGCACCTCCAAAAAAGAACCTTTGGGCAATCAGTTGATACTGAAACGGTGATCCAACTCAGATCAAATTGTGCGCCGCTGGATCGACGTGGGCCTTAAGAGGTCTCTGCGCCTCAGCGTCTCTGCAAAAGGAAAAGTGAAGTCGCCAGGGCCTGGGCCAGAAAAATGAATTTTGCCCAGCGCAAGCGCTGGAACGTCTTCTTGCGCAAAAAAGCTGTGTGGGCAAGTCGGCGTATACAATCTACGCGCTTGAATGAGTAACGCACATCGACTGCTCAAGAAGGTGTGTGGAAGACTCAGCAAGGGAAGCCTTTGTGCAAGGTGCCCTTTTTGAACGCTTCAAGCCCCCCTAAGGAACCCAAAAAAGGGCACCTCCAATAAGAACCTTTGGGCAATCATTTTGTTAGGGCTTGATACTGAAACGGTGAGCCAACTCAGAACAAATATGTGCGCCGCTGGATCGACGTGCGCCTTCAGAGGTCTCTGCGTCTCTGCAGAAGGAAAAGTGAAGCCGCCAAGGGCCTGGGCCGGAAAAATGCATTTTGCCCAGCGCAAGCGCTGGAACGTGGTCTTGCGCAAAAAAAGCTGTGTGGGTAAGTCATGTATGCGTATACACTCTATGCACTGACGCACGTCGACTGCTCAAAAAGGTGTGGAAGACTCGGCAAGGGAAGCCTTTAAGGTGCCCTTTTTCAACGCGTCAAGCCCCCCCTAAGGAACCAAAAAAGGGCACCTCAAAAGGGAACCTTTGGACAGTCAGTTTGTGGGGCTTGATACAGCGATATAGTGAGCCAACTACAGAACACATATGGGATCTGGTCAAAATGTCTTCTTCCAAAAATGGCCGAAAGTCGTGTTCACATGGGGGCCCGCTACATATTCTTTACTTTTGGCACACACAGCTGGTTAATGAAGGAAACATGGACCAAACAAGTATTGGCGCCAAGTTGTAAGAAGCGTCACTAGCGCTGCACCGTTTTCAGCTGATCTCCGAGCTTCAAGCCATGCTTGAAACAAAAGACATGTTGCAAGTCAGCCTTGGTAGGGTCCACGCTGGAACCTGGCAATGTTTGCTAGCGCGGATCTAGCGTAGTGCTAGTGCGTGGGTAGCACATTTTTCAGCCAGCCAGTTTTCAAAAACCTGACGACTGTCTGAACATGTCCTAAGGCAAACACTAGCGTCACTATCACAAATCTACCGCAAGCCTAGCGCCCAGCTGCAGAATGGGTGTGTTTAGCTGGGGGCCCGCTACATAATCTAAATGAAAAAACAACATCATAAGCTACTTTCGACCCCTATATCTATTTTTTGATTATAGACTTTTGGCCGGACTCCATATGTTCACAGGAGTAGTTGCCCCCAAAAGCAGGGCATGTCCTGATAGATTTACAAGTAAGTGCGCCCATCCAAGAAAGACGGAGCTAAGACAAAAACACTTCAAGGAAAAAATGAGAGCTCTATGAAAACAAGGCCGCCGTCACCGAGTTGACACGAGGCATTGAGGTCTCTGCATCGGAAGCAGCCAATCTGCCAAAGGCCTGAGGCGAAAACGGAATGTGGTCAAGCACTTGCATTTCGACGTCTAGCAGCAGCCGGTCTGCCAGTCATGTCGCGCGAGCTCGCGACGACAACTGAAAAGGTCTAGCGTCTAGAACCTGAAAAATCTTTGCGAAGTGCCCTCCTAAAAAATGCGCCACGCAACCTTTAATTAGAGGCTGGTAGTTCCCTTGGCCTGCTGACTGGGGGACCTCTCTTCGCGCATCCTATCTCGCGCATCAAAGGTTCAAATTTTCGCCTTGGTGCTCAGCGGCTATCGACTGTACTGTGCACCCAACTGATGGCACATGGACCTGAAGCGGTCTCTGCAAAAAATGACTTCGGAGGCATCGACATGAGCCCCGCGCAACCTCGAACACAACTCTCAACTTGCCAGCTTGGCCTTCTTTGCAGCTGGCTCACCTGCATCAATCGGCTCTGCCGGCTTACCTGCATCAAGCGGCTCTGCCGGCTTACCTGCATCAAGCATCTTGCCCTTCTTTGCAGCTGGCTCAACTGCGTCAAGCGGCTTTGCTGGCTCATGTGCATCAAGCATCTCTGCCAGCCTGTCGTGCTCAGATTTCAAGGCGTTGAATTCTGCCTCCTTCTCCAGCAGCTTCACTTTCAGAAACTGGAGCTCTTGCAATTCAACATCGCGCCGGCATGCCCGAAACAGCTCATAGGGCGTCAAAGGCTTTGTGGTTGAGATGTCGATCACTGCTTGCACCTTGCTGCGTTGAAAGTCAGGGCCGAGGTCGCCAATTTGGCACCAAAAGTCACCAATGACACTCTTGGAACGGTCGTAGTAGTGAAGATCCGGCATGGTCTCGGACGAGAGCATGTCCAGAACGAACCTAGCATTGCAAAAACATTGTGAGTCGCAACCTGTTTGAATCTGGCTGAACCATCCATTGTCAACTAAATTGTTGCTGTAACACCGCACTAAGTGAAGAGCAACAGAGGCGTAGCAATTCAACTGGCGCAATGTACTTGCATGGGTAGAGAATAAAATGTAAAGCTTTTCTACACATCTTCCAAGCAACTCATTCTGCATTCCGCCCGAGACAATGAAAGCCAGCAGCGCCATCGTGGAGACTTCACTCAGGAAAATTTGCTTCGCATCAGGAAGGCTCACCAAAAGGTTCCTCAAAAGGACATCCTTGCATAGGGCGTGGGTGCCCTGGTCCTCCACCATGAAGAAGCGCCAAGAAGCAGAAGCCACCTCTGTCTGGGGCGCCAGACCCCACTTGACGTTGAGCGTCGCCTCGTATTCTGTGAAGGCAATGTTCTGTGGCTGGCCATGTTTCTTAGCATCAACATATGCACTTCGGGCCACTCGCAAGCCACCCGCGAAGCACTTTGCCAACCCTGACTGGATAGCTGTCTGTGGATTGGCGATGCTGCACTCCAAGACGCCAACAGTGCGCTCCGACACCAAGTCCGCAGCGGGCTTCGCGTGCCGTTTGCGCCACGCGCTACTCTTGACATCGGCGCTGTCACTGAAGCGGAATCCCAACCTTGGCTGAGGAGCCCTGACCACAGGTTGTGACTTAGCGAAGAATTGTTGCCCAAGCCAAATATCAAATAACAAAACCAAACGCACACCAAGCAATTGACCAAGGTTCTGCCGGCCGTCGCCCCTCGTAGCCCCTGCAATCGCCTCACCCAACGTCGGAGCAAAGGTGAGGAAACCATCGGGCCCAGCCTGGATCTGCCTGCAGCTTGTCTTGGTCACCAGAAAGCCCTTCATGCTGCCAATGCCAATGCACAAACTGAAGTCTGCACTCGAGCCAGATGTCTCAAACAATGCAGCGTGGAGCAACTCAAGCCAAGGACTCTTATCCACTACCTCCAAAAGCCTGCTTGAAACATGCACTCGCAATTCAACAGCGTCTGGGCCAGCGACGGTCCAAAAACCATTGTGGTTCAGGAATTGGCAAACGCCTTGCGCAGTCTGGTTTCTGGACTTTTCTTCTTCTTCTTCTTCAACTCACAACCTGTGACTGGAGCCAGTATGAAGCATTGTAAGTCACAACAGCTGCTAAACCTGCATTTCACCACATGAATCACTGAGCCAGTGCCAAGCATCGGCCAGGAAAGGGAGGATTCCACTGAAGCATCTTGCAATATCGCCTATGGCTATCCAACCTGGTTGGGCTGTATAGAAAGCTCCTTGGACTTCTTTCTGAGACTAAGCGCTGAAGATCCGGCCTGGTCTTGCTCGAGACCATGTCCAGAACGAGCCTTCCGTGGCCAAAACACCCTGAGGCGCAACCTGATTGAAGCTTGACCATTGCCAACACTTTCCTGATTCACCACCCCAAAGCCATTCCACTGCTCTCAACATTCCAACAACAATCAATGCCAGCTCGAAATATTTAAAGCGCACACGCTTGAAACTTGCAACATCCCCTGGTCCACAGTCGCAACCCTTGGCGTTCCAAGAACGAACACGCAACGCCTTGCGCTGTCCGGTCACCGCGCCATCTTCCAATGGCCGCGATCAACAATTGCGTGCCAAAAAAATGCTTTGTTGGCCTAAGCCTAGCTGTCCTTGTGTGTGTGTGCGCGATGGCACCTTGTTGGTTAGCTGAAAGTTCTGTTTTGCTCTGGCCAACTGTCAGCTCTCTATACCAACTTGTCTCACGAACACCTGCGATGAAAACAGAATTTGATCTAAACCCTAGCCAGCCACCAAACCCCACTTCTTCAAGCGTCAACGGAAAGCCCGAACCAAAGGTCCTGTAGCTTGTGTTCGGGATGGGGGCTTGAGACTCAAGAAGGGTTCCTTGCTCAAAAAATTTGACATCTTATAGGACCTATAGGTCGTGAAACTTTCTGGGTGGTCAATTCAATTCTGGCAGGGGGGACAACGGAAGGGTTTGCACCTAGGGCGGAAGCCTCGCCAACCCACAGGCCCCCATCTCTGACCACGCCGAGCAGCTCACGCCAAGCCACAATCGATAGGGCCCACAGAGTCAATCCTGGAGCCTCATCGCAGATGACTGTTTCCGTGGTTTGTTTCCGAAGTTTCTCTAATCTTTTAAACGATTAGTTGAATAGACCTTTCTGACTAATAGTTTAGACACCCATTCTAGTCTAACTAATAGTCAATTGCCAGTTCCAGTTTCTCGTGAAGTAATAAGTAGTCTATACTTTCAACTTGGGTTCCAAATTCTTGTTGTCAAATTACTCTAAGCACTCGTTGCAGCTGCAAGCTTTGCCCTAATTGCTCAATACTTTTACAATGATGATCTCTGTCGAGGCAGGCGCCGCACCTTCGACCGCAAAAAGAGCAAAAGGCACACATAGGATCCGAGAAGGTGGCTCCGCAGCATGATCCTCAGATGCCACGCTGGTTGCAAAAGTTCCGCCGCACGTCCAAAACGACCTCTTTCTTACCCTGCCCCAAACAGCTGTAGTCTCCTACCTGGGCGTTGATTGAACTATTGGAGCCAGCTTGGAGCATTTAATGCGCACGGGCCAAATTTTGGAAACATCCCATATATAGTCCATAGCCTGCGCTTTGCTTCTCACAAGCCCCTCAACCCGAGCCCGCAATACGGTTACTGCGCAATCTTCCAACTTCTCTCTCCCCCTAGGCTTTCCTAAAGCATCTCCTCTTTCTGATCAAAAACAGTAAAAGGAGAAATGGAGACCGTATGAATAGAGGAACCGTCGAGGATATCATATAGAAGGCTATACCACGAGAGAAACCAGAGAGTTATAGATACAGGAGGTCTATTCATATACCAATATTATTCATATATACAGAGCGAGAAGAAAAGCGCATCCAGCTTCTGCCACATGTCCTGATCCGTCGAAGAGGTATCATTCTTCCCTTCTCCAGAACAAAAAATTCGAGACCCTGATTTAAGTGAAGGCTAAATGGAGGGTGTGCGGAGAAAGGGGGTCAGCAAAAATCGCTGATACGAAGTTAGTGCATCAAAAATACCTTCCACGAAGTCCTGCAAAGGTTTCTGGGATTTCGTTGCAGTCAGTTCTCCTACTGGCCCACCAGTCCACGAACCGTCCACGAATAGCCTTGGGTTCTACGAATGTACCGTGCCTTCCACGATGTTAGTAGAATAGGTTTTTGCAAAACCCTTTCTGTGCACTACCCTTCCGTTTGCCTCTGATTAAGTTCAAAGCACGTCCGTAGACCTTGCACCAAAAAGATCAAAAAGCGATGACCCAAATCGACCGAACCGCGGAAGTCTTCAACACGGATCGTTCCGGCGCCGCTGCCACACTTCGTCGCAATCTCTGCTGCAGCACCACTGCATCAGAGCCTGAAAGACGCGCCAATACGCGCCAATGAGTCATGAGAAAACTCGCTCTGCGTCCACGTTAACTTCCATTCACACATCAGTTGCAACCGGCCTCCGCACAGGTGAAAGCTCTCGGCTGCCAGGGCCCGAAGGCTGGCGCCGGTCCGCCGAGAGCGGGGCTGGCGGTCGCATTCTGGCGGTCAGGCAGTGCACCCACCAAAAGTGAGATTTCAACCCATGTCCACACTGATTGTCTGGAACCCAGAAAAGATCTTTAAGTCTCCAGTGACAATGGGGGAGAGACGTGCTCCTGTCTTCAATGATTCAAGAAATCAAAGAAACGTGCCAAGCAGAAGCGGGCGCAGAGCTTGCCTCGACTGAAGATCTGCCGGTCTTCGCAAAGCTGGTGCGTTGTGCATTGTGGTGTGATCCGGACGTAGCGCGTCAGTTGAGGCCACTCGCGCATCAGCTTCGCTACCTGAGGCCCGGTCTTGATGGGACAAGCCCAAGTGAGAAAACACAGAGTACATTGAGGTCAAATATGTCCCCGCCCTTGTTTCACATCCAATGGTTCTGCTCTGACATTGACGTCAAGGCACAACGCACCGGTGAAATCTCTGGAAGCCATTCCGCAAGCCAGGAACGATCTCCTTGAGCTGATCCCGGGCATAGGAGCCCATGTGCCAATCGGGATGCTCCTGTGCCACGGCCAGACGCTGTACTGTATACAGCTGACAAATTCCATGTTTTGTTTGTTCCCAACTGCAGTTGGGTTTCAATCTCTAGGCACAGCATTGGTGCCACTGTTTTGCCACTGTCTGGAACGTTGGGCGCTGACTGCTGTTGGGCTGCAAAGCTGGGTTAATTGCACAATGAAGTCAATGAAGTTCCCCTCAACCCTCGACGTTCCAAGAACGAGCCCGCAATATGCTTACTGTGACATCTTCCAATGGCAGTGCCCTTCTCTCTCCCTCTGAACCAATAGAAAACCGGCACCGCCAAAACTTTCTCGTCCTTGTAGCCACTTTCCAAAAAACATCTCCTCTTTCCAATCAAAAACAATAAGGAGAGATGGAGACCGTATAAATAGAGGAACCGTCGAGGATATCATATAGAAGGCTATACCACGAGAGAAACCAAAGAGTTATAGATACAGGAGGTCTATTCATATACCAATATTATTAATATATGTGGAGCGAGAAAAAACACATCCAGCTTCTGCCACAAAAACTTCGAGACACTGATTTCAAGTTCAAAGAAACCCCAAACTGCGCGCGCACACTTAGAATAGGGCTCGGGTGAGCAGACAACGATCTGCATTGGTACTTTACGATACTGCTTGCCTGCACCTGCCAAGAACACCTGATAAAAACGGCCCTGCTCATCGTATCAAAAGGCTCATGTGTCATAGCGACCGCGGAACGCTTGGGAACATGGGACACATACACACACTTTCAATCTCAACACTCTAATGCACAAAACACGAGTTTTGAGATTTGCTGGGTGAGAAGTTTAACATGCGTATAGCCTGTCCCCCAGCCCTCCTCATCCTCGAGATGCAAAAGAGCTTCAAGATCTCTGGCCACCATGGATCGAAATCTCAGTGGCCGTTAATGTGGTGATTGGAAACACTTGGGAGATGTGTAAAGCAATGTCCAGAAACTCTGCACCCTGCGCCAGAACAAATACGAAAAGCGATAGGAATTTACAAATGGAACTGTTGACCGTTGCCTTTACAGTGGCTGTGGGCAACTGCATCCTGCAAAAACACGACTCTTCCACGCCCAACAGTGCGCCAAGACACAGTCCGCTTTTGTTGAACCCGCACGTCGTCAGATTCTGGAGGATCTTGCCCTTTTTCCTCAGAGTGGAAAAGAGAAGGCATAATGCATGGACACAATATTCAGAACCCTGACCCTAGGAGCTGTCACAAAACCCTTGCCCCAAAAGTTATTTTGAATGAACAGCGACTTCCTTAAGCTTGCATGTGGGTTATCCAGTCGCCCAAACATCCGGTGCAAGGAGGATTGACGGTTTGAATATTTCTAGCGTCTAACGTTTCAAGCAAAAAAATGTATAGTCCTCATCAGTTGTAAGAGGTTTATGTCAGTTCGGACATGCCCTCGGGGCAGCTCATGGTTTGCCTGGCTTTGGTTGGGAACCATGGACATCTGGGATATGTACGCCTGCATCTTGCCTGTTGGCTATTATTTCAAGAGTGTATGTCTGCCTGCCTTTGCCTGTTTGCTTTCAAGCTCGAAGGCACAAAGCAATTGAAGGGCCGACCTTCGGCGACCTGAAAGGCCGCCTGTTGTTTGGCAAGCGGCAAAACCTTCTTCGCCCCCATGCGCCGCACGCGATCGTAACATGACCGCAGCCAGCGCACTGCTTTGCTCAGAGCGGGCCCCTTCTGCGAGGCCTGAGCAGGGCGGTGATCCCTTCACAGCTCAATACATCATTGAGGCTGGCGTTGGCACCGTGCGAGCTTGGTGTGCTGGGACCCGGGTCCTTGCCCCGCACGATCTTGAAGCACTTTGGAATTTAAC